AATATGTCCTATAATTAAACAAAAGTGGGAGCTCAAATCAAGACGACATTTTTTTAGTTTCATAAACCACCTAAGAGTGAACTTTGTGGCAAATGTCAAGAAGATTGTGAAAACAGAATTTGCGCTACAATTGCTAGCCTAAAAATGTATTTTCGTAAATTTAAAGCGCAAACCTCTTCGTGGAGGTGTGGTTTTCATTATCTAAGCTCATGGCTATCCAGATAACACAATCTGGAAAACGTAGCTTCTTACATGCAAATAATGATTTTTAGGAAATTTTTCAAATTAGAAAATTTAAATGATCCTAAACCACGCCCACTTTGATCAATCATTACCATATTGATAATGTAGTCTTAAGACTCTACAATGATGACAACCACTAAGTTTCGTGCAGATCCATTTAGCCGGTTCAGCAGTGTAATTTCTTCCTAGTTATAGCGCCCCCTATTGTTTAATCAAGTTGAAAACCAGGACATACACTTGAATTGACCTTAGGTATGACTGTTATGAACAGCTTTGAAAAATGTCAAAACCTTTTGAAGTTACGCTCAAAAAACTTTTTCATTCCCAAAAAATTATTTTAAAAAATCATATTAAAAAAATAAGCAAATTATCCAAAATCCCTTCACATCTTTTGGTCAGCCGCTCCTCCTCTCTTGTCAGGGAAAGTTGTGATGTGATTGAGTTTGACGGCCGGGAGGAGTTAACGAAAGTACGTTGGACATACTATGCAAATTTCTACTAATTTGCAAAAGTTTAAAACATTTTGTAAAATACTCATCTAAATTTGACTGACTCAATGAACATACTGGATGAGATCATTTGTTTTATTATGAAAGAAATCGGGAGAAACATGCCAAAAATATTTTTGGGGCACCACAGCGCCACCTATTGGACAAAATTCAAAAAATTTTCTGTGATTGTAGATGTCACTATGACTGATATGAATTGTAATTTTCTGTATAGAATATGTATTTTTCATGAGTAAATTGGCGAAAACTTTTAAAGCCTATTTATAGCCTATAAGCCACGCCCACTTTTTAATCATTTTCAAAATATAGCTTAAGGGTCCGATGATTAACATATGTGCCAAGTTCTGTGGAAATCCATCAAGCCGTTTAGCTGAAACAAACTTTTTGACTCTTTAGCGCCCCCTATTGGTGAATTCAAACAAATAGGGGTAGATAGGGCTTACCACTCATACTTCATAAGGGTCTAGAGTCTCATCAATTTATCTTGAGAAATGGTGAAGATATCATCAATTACCACATGTGCTAGCTAGCACACTGATTTTGACATGGTGTCATTAGCCCAATTTTCAATATTTCTGCATTTTTCTTCATCACAACAACTTATCTTAGTCCATAGATCACATGTACGAAGTTTGAAGTTGATTCGACGAAAAATGACGAATAGGTGATTAAAAGTAAGTTTTGCGTTTTTTGCGATCTAGCAAAAAATCTAGTTAGGCGGAAATGGGCGTGGCCAATACAAAAAATATGGAGAATCATCCAAGGATCACATACATATAAAGTTTTTGACTGTAGGACCTACGGTTTGGGAGCTAGTAGCTGAAACGTGTTGATGTCTGCAATAGCGCCACCTAGGTGACGCGGGGTCCAAATTTTCGAATCTGAGTAGCGGTCAGGATTTTCTATCAGACTGCCATGTCAGATTTTCCCTGGCAATTTCAGGCTCTTGCGCCCATATACTTTTAGCGGAGAAGAATAATAAATAATAATAAATAATAAATAATAATAAATAATAATGAAAAATCCGTAGAAAAACAATAGGGTTCCCTGCCCTTTGGGCTTGGAACCCTAATAAATAATAAATAATGAAAAATCCGTAGAAAAACAATAGGGTTCCCTGCCCTTTGGGCTTGGAACCCTAATGACTTTCTGTGGTCAAATGTTTATTCACTCAGGGAGTATATGATGGTGGACATGCATAGGCAGGACTAAAAGGCCATTTTTTTATACTGCTTTAGTCTTTAAGTTGGCCAAAAAGGGGCATGAAAACAAGAAAACAGGGAACTTTGGCAGGAGGATTTTATCATATATTTAATTTAGCACAAAAAGAGAGATACAGTGGATTAAAAAAAGATTTATAAAGTGGCAATACGTAGTTGAAATGAATGTGAAAAAATGTGGTTGTGCATGCAAGCAGGAATTTATTTATTATTATTGTTATTATTATTAATATTATTATTATTAATATTATTATTATTTTGTAGCTTTTTGTTACCACCTTGTTTTGAGTGAAATCTTTTGAGAAGATCTCTCAAATCCCCAAATGAATTCCTAAAAGGGGACAATGCACAAATGATGTCAGAATCTCATCCGCACATAAAAATATGCAATACAAAGCACTCTGAGACTGCAGCTGAGCGTAAAGAAAAAAATCTGAATTTATGTTTCTCCTAAACCCAAACAGCAGGAGCGATGGGTGGCACTTTTGTGAGGATCTCAAGGTTTCTGTGTAGGGAAATGAAAGACAGGCTGTAATTTGAAGTCATACTTGCACTGTAGAAAATGTAGGTAATGATTTTTGTTAGTTTTAACTTTGTTACGCACAGTTCGAGTCATTCTCTGCTATCTGGGAGGGTTTAAGAGCTACTGCCGGTTTGAGTAAATTACTTTTGAGGGAAGATGATGTGTGGGTTGGGGAAGCGGTACAAAAATCAAAAGAATCAAAATTATATGAACTAGTATTGCAGAAAATGGGGGAATTCAGAAAAAAACTGTTATTAGAAGGTATTTTTTATGTTTTTTCCCACTAGTTCCACTCTGTACACTTGAAATTAAGTGAAGGATCAGACTTTGGCATCTGACCCTTGTTTTCACATTATTTTCCATATAAATATCACATTTAATTTCATCATGAAGAAAGATGACCTGACTGTTCAGCAGTTTAATATTTACAGTTTTATTTTCTTACTGTTATTTGTTGACTCTGTAGCGATAAATATAGATTTATATCTATATGTATCAAATGTGGTGTAGATTTAGCTTGTTTAGTCGTTTTTAATCTTATATGAATCACTCGGGGCACCACCAATTCTTTTAGTGTGAATTTGGAACACTTGCGTTGACATTCGGATTTGTTCAGTGTAATCAGTCTCAACTTTAGCACCACAAACCAACCTAAAGGATGAATTCTTTCCAGAATGCGCAGACTATTCTCGAGATCGCTAGAAATGATCAGGCGTTATTTACGTTTTTGTGAGATTATTACAAACATCAGTTAATACATTGACAAAAGGACCAAACACAGCTTATAGTTTCATGCATGGAATTAAGTAAATGGTTATATCCTAAGCTTTATAGCAGTGATATGAGATAACTGATCTGTAATAAAGTGGAAATTTGGTGACACACAAGATTATAGTAAAATGGGGAATAAGTTCTAAAAGGGGAACAAAGTGAGTGTGTCTGTGTTCATATGGGTGTAGGAATGCAGGAGGGTGTGTGTGTTCATGTGTGTGTGTGTGTGTGTGTGTGTGTGTGTGTGTGTGTGTGTGTGTGTGTGTGTGTGTGTGTGTGTGTGTGTGTGTGTGTGTGCGTGTGCGTGTGTAAGCAAATAAGGATTCGTTGCGGCAGAAAAAGAAGGGTAAATCTTGAGAGCTAAACGTGATTTTGGATCGAAATAAACACGCCATTAAAATGGGATAATCTGAATTCACGAATCGGCTTAGCAGAAAAGTCAGCCAGATGAAAAAGATTCACAGACCTGTTTTCCGTCGCCAAAAGGGTGACTTGAGGGGCTGAAGCAGCCGGTGTCCTCGCCTGAGTGAAGCCTCCAAGGGCTGTAGGACTTTTGGCACCCAGAGTAGGTCAACGGCGCCTGTGGGGTGTAGGATGAAGCATTCCTCTATCATGGCTTGACTTTCAGTTCCTGCAGCTGCATCCAAACGTAGGATTCAGATCGTGACTCCAGATTTTAAGCGAGGCCAGATCAAAACTCCTCTTAAGTAAGTTTTTCTCTTAATGTGAAAACTCGACCGGACCAAGCCGACTTCCGGTCTTACGTAGAAAGTCAAAACAAAACAAACGGAGTTGCCTCTGAGTTTTACCGTAACTTTTGAGAGCCAATGACTTTACAACTTTTAGAGCGGCAGGTTATTTTGCTAGGCCAAGATGGAAAGGCCAAGCAGAGGTTCACTTATGATGCCTTTTGTTCTTTTTTCTGCCGCCACGAGGTTGAACTCTGGCCTTTTATAACCTTCCTTGGTCACGCCCAAATGTATTTCACTCCTTAACCACTGGATGGCACTGTGGCTCTTTCAAATAAACTACCTGTCCAAAAATGAAAGGTCAATAATCACAATTTACCAAAGTTATTCCAGATGAGGCATCCAAGTATTACTTTAAATAGGAGAGAACTAAATTAATGTCTTAAAACTGGACAGTTTTACCGTTAGCATGCATTTTAACTGGAGAAACACAAATTGGCAGAGGTTTAACATAAAAGACAAATACACAAAACAAGCAGTTAGGTTTGTAACTGATAAGATTTTAAACATTTACTTGGAACACTTTGATTTCTAATGGTGAACAAACCTAAAACACCTTTTGACTGCGGATAAATAGAGAATACCAGGGTCTTGATAAAGACTAAATTCTGGAACCTTCCAGAACACGCCCTGAGAAGTTTTACGAGTACCCAAGCCCAAGAGTCAGGTTTTGGCAGGTTGAAAAAGAGCAGACCAGTTTCTGATATCGTCCTGCGTTTCCAACTGGTACAGAAGAGAAAAGCATGTCACTTGGTAAAATGTATGTCCCTGGAGGAAGGTAGGCGCTAGCCAGTTTCAAATTCACCCTGCTGCTGTTAAGTGTGAGAGAAAAAATTTGTGTGAACCCGGTGAAAGTTAAACTGAAGATATGAAATGTGGATATCCGCTACAACTCAGAAAGCTTCTTACATGTTTATTATATTATTATTCTACATGAATTGTAAAAATTATCTCCTAATATTCCTTTTCCTCCTGGTCTGTTTAGGGGAGATTTGTGCCTTTAAGATCTTCGGTCAGGATGCCCCGTTTGAGGCGGTGGTGTTGAATCGGACTTCAGGAGAAGGAGTACTGAAAGCCAGCAGCCAGGTGGACTGTGAAAGCCAGAAGGAGTACACCTTCATCATCCAGGCCTATGACTGTGGGGCTGGGCCAAATGGAGCGGATTGGAAAAAATCTCACAAGTAAGTCAAGTCATTTATAGACAAACCCTCTGATCAGACCCGTTTTATATATATTCACGACACACGGACAGAGGGCTCCTGATTGCCTGAGACAGACTAGGAAGCAGCAGAAACGATAAATAAAATGTACAGATGGTTGAAAGTTGGTGAGTGGTGTTTTCTGTATGTAACCACCGAAGTAGTTGTCTGTGCTACGATGTCTCCCTCTCCCCGCAGCCGTGCACGTACCGCCACAATGACACATTTCCTTTTTGATGCATGTGGGCCACCATAGGTGCAAAACGTACTCTGAACTGTGCAGCGTAAAGAGGTAAAATGTTTATAAACACTGGGACTTTAAAGTGACAATGTGTATTTTCCCTGGCAATGGGGTAGGTACATACCTAAATCATTGCAAGAAAGCGGTATTTTTGTGTTTGAGTAAGACCTTATCAACAGATAACCATTAGGGTCAAAACTCCAGCAAAATGAAAATTGCGTCAGACTCCCTTCCATCACTGGCGAAGAGTGAAGAAATAAATGTGTAAAGCAACAATGTTTATGAAAGGCAAATGTTTTGTAACAATTGTTACAAATGAGTAAATGCATTTTGTCATCACAGGCTTCCGTAGAAGGAAACATAGTGTCTAATATAGCGCCTCACAGAGACTTTAGACCAATATTTTATACCTGATTTTTATGGTTGTACGTTATGAAGCCGCCAATATTTTTTAACAACTGAGTATCATTTAATTAATTTTCTATGACATTTCGATGGATATTTCCTGAGACTAAAGCCTGGTTTATGCTTCTCCGTCAGCTCCGCAAGGGGCAGACGCGCACGGATTGACGCAAGTGTTTTGCTCTTTTACTTCTCCGTCTCCTGGAGAGTGTTGCAAAGCAATCGCCCGGCAGGACAACAGAGGGCGTAGCGCTGTTCTGTGGTATCCTGTCATGTATCGATCCAAGATCGTGTGTTTATATTGTATTTTTTGTGTATATAAGAGACTTTTAACATGGACATATTTGTCTCTCAATCTCCCACCGCTTCATGCGCTCCCCACCTCTAAACCCATGTTTCCTGTCATTTCCGTCCACAAATAAAACGCTTGCTGCACATCTTTTCACTCCTTCAGTCACAGGGAATTAAACGTTCATATTTTTAGAGTTTTTTCGCGAGGTATTCTTCAAGCTTCTCCGTGTCTGCCGCTAGTTATCCTCGGCTCTCTTTGCAATGGTGGCGCTGTAAACAACAGCGGCGTCCTGACCAATCACAAGCTTGCGTAATCTGTCTCGTTCGATGGATGTTTAAAAAAGTGGGCTCGACTCCGTACGTACTTGCGTGCCTGCCGGAGCCCTACGCAAGGACAGATAATGGCGTTGCGTGTCTCCGCACTGATGCAGACGGAGAAGCATAAATCAGGCTTAACATTGAAAACTACACCTTGAAGATGAGACAGATGTTTCTGCCACTTCTTCCAATAATTTAGGGCATTTTTCCTTAAATAAGAAGAGTGAGAATTTCCTTCATAATAACTCAAATTCATAACCGAAATAATTAATTAAAGATGGCTGTTTCTGTTTTCTGTTTGCTCTTTCTAAAATATTTTCTCTGCTGGTTATTCTGAGTGTTCCTCCCTCAGCAATGCTGCAGCCATAGCTGACATTTGCAGATGTCTCGGAGGATGTGTCCTCCTAATAGCCCATCTATAAAAATGTGCATCCCTGTGAGTGAATTAGACTGACACGCAGGCGTACAGGTGTGAACAGCAGCAAATCAAATCTTCTGGTGCTTCAGTCAGAGACAAAAAGCTGCTATAATAAGCTGCTGCTCTGAACTGAAAGTGGGGACAGAAATGTAGTAAATTGTTTGATGGATTTCTTTAGTGAAGTATAATTGACACATGGTGCATTAGCCTGAGTGTTTGTGTGTGCACATCTCTGTGACATTATCACAGCATGACATTCTGAATAGGGCTCATTAAGCTAATGCCATTAATTGGCCAGATGTGCTTTCAGAGAAAAGCTTTGAGCTGTTGTCAGCGAAGGTCACCGGTGAAGAAAACTCCTACGTCCACATCACTGCTCCATTAATAGACTTTAGAGCTCAAATGTTAATCAGAGTCCAGAGTTCATTTGCTATGCAGATGAAATTGGGAGTCTGTGTGTTTCATTTAGAGAAGAGATGAAAAAGTTAAGAAAAATATGAAATTAAACAATTTCAACAAACTGGCTGCAGAATTTGTTGAGGATTATTCAAAGCCTGTCAATAAAAGATTTTTTTAATCACTAGGGTTAGATTTAAAAGCAAAAGCAAGAGTATTTACTTAAAAAGTAAACATCTAATCAAGTTTCCCAGGTCTAGTTTTTAAAATAATTCTATTTTTTAATAAGTGCTTGCATGTGTATTTATTTATTCTAACAGCATTTTTAAAAGTTAGGCCTTATTCTCAATAAAAGAAGATTAAAGGAAACATAATTAACAATAGCTTATGACTTAGTCTGCAGCATGTTCTGGACAAAAATATCCATGAAAACATGACAAATCATCAGCTTTATGTTATATAACCTAATGACTTTCCATGAAAAATCTGATGCAGCATTAATGAAAGGTTGCCCTCATTGTGCCTCGAGTTGGCTTTTGTTTTGTCTGCTCCAAGAAACTTTAACGCACCACTTACTCGTGATTGTTTGGCATTTTCAGGAATCATGGTATCCTTTTGCAACAGCCTCTTGTCTGTCTGGGCTCCTAAAAAGCTGCTGCTCGTGTGACTCATTTATTCCTGCTTTCAGGGCCGTGGTTCACATCCAGGTGAACGACGTGAACGAGTTCAGTCCCGTGTTTAGAGAGTCTCTGTACAAGGCCTCTGTGACCGAGGGAAAGATCTACGACAGCATTTTACAGGTATTTAAACATTATAGTTTAGTTTTGTTTCTGTTGTCTGAGATTCTGCTGAGGGACTAAAGACTGGAAACCTGTTTCAGGTGGAAGCTTGGGACCAGGACTGTTCACCACAGTACAGTCAGATCTGCAACTATGAGATAGTCACTGCAGGAACGCCATTTGCTATTGATCGTAACGGTAAGAGCGAGTATTCATGGGTTACACAGAGCTGTGGGTGGATATGTGACCAGAAGCGACGTGGAAGATTCTGGGTCACCCGAGTGTGGGATTGTTTTTATTTCATCTGTAAGATTTATTCACAGGAAGTTGCAACGTTGCACAGCAAGCAGAGTCAGTGGTAGAGTCACATTGTTGTTAGCCAGTCAGAGGCGAGATGTCCAACTACCAGGAAATACGACTCCAAATCCTGATGTCTGAAGGCATTTTGTCTTCCAGCTGACTTCTATGTCCTCAAACAGGAGCATCTGAGCTTTTTTCCCCTGAGGACTATCCATCCGTTGATCCATCCATCCGTTTTCAGACGCTTATCCGGAGTCGAGTCGTGGGGGCAGTAGACTTAGCAGAGAGGCCTAGGCTTCCCTCTCCCCAGCTATGTGGGCCAGCTCCTCCTGGGGAATCCCAAGGCATTCCCTGGCCAGCCGAGGGACATAATTCCTCCAGCGTGTCCTGGGTCTTCCCTTGGGTCTCCTCCCAGTTGGACGTGACCAGAAAACCTCTCCAGGGAGGCATCCAGGAAGCATCCTGACCGGATGCCCAAGCCACCTCAACTGGCCCCTCTCCTTCATTTCCCTAGAGGACTAATCTATTATTATCTTATTGTGTTATTATTGAGAACTTTGCTTAAAGGAGAAATATGTATGAATTCTACAGTGAAATTGTTACAAAACAGTCTAACGTCTCAATCATGTTGGAAGGAAGGTTATATTGAAATAGTTTTCGTTCTCAGCCGGCTGGGGGGTTGTCAGTTGTTCTCCTTTAAGAAAGGCCAAAGAGTGACATAGTTACAATCTGTGAGCCCTCTGCGTCGCTGAGTCTGCACCGAGCTAACGCTGCAGTGCCAGCCAGCATTTGTAATTAAACACCGGCAGGCAAAAGCGCCAGAGATGTTTAAAAAAAAACGAAGACAGTAAACAGGAGCAATGTTACAGTGAAATGTGTGCATGATGTGAATAATGAGTCAATGGTGGTGTTTTACTTCCTTTAATGAGTCGTTTAGAACTATAACAACAAGCCAATAGCAAACAACCACATTACCTCTAATGCCAGAAAGATATTACCATAATAAGTGCAGTAAGTGCTCCTTACTGTAAAGCACCCCATAGTGCTATCCCGAAAGATAAGAATGTATTTTCTACTTATCAACTTACAGTCTTCGTTTGTCATCTACAATTTTCTGGCCCTGATCCATAACTGGCAACAGCCATGAAACTCGTTAAATGGTAGTGAGAAATTAACTTTTTGCTCAGAAAAATGGACTGAAGTTGCAGCATTTGGCCACGAGATGCCATTCTTACTACAGTCTTACATATTGGACCTTTAAAAGAAAATTGTTTTTTTTTGTCTAACTTCACCTCTATGATATTTCAAAATGGAAGAAACTCTTTTTTTCTGACTACTGCGCCATTCTTGTGTCTTTTGCACAAACACAAAGATTACTGTCTTGATGAAAAGAAAAGCTAAATTTCTGAAATCTTTATGATTTCACAACCTTCTGTGAACATGAGTCAGTTTCAGCCACAGATCAACAGACCTTTTAAAAGCTGACCGTTCCTGCAACAATCAGCGTTGCCAACACAGAAAGCGTAACGATCAGAATCATTTTAAGTTCCAACAGTCATCCTTTAAATGAGAGTTTAGTCACATTAGTCACATTTTCAGACAATAAATTACAAATTAATATAAAATAAACAGCAATCACAGATCAAATGTAGTTTTTATATAAAACTGTGAGTCATGAAGTATTTCTTTTTTTGACACACAGTTAAATGTGCGTGTTTGTGTGTTTTATTATATACGAGAACACACTTTTCTTTCATTTTCTCAGGGTCGTATTCATTTTTCCTCAGAAATTGCTCTTTGATTGTAATCTCGGAGTCTCAGTGTAAATTTGGCGGATTCAGTTCAATCTCCTCTCTAGCTCAATAAAAGATGAAGGCTGAAACTAAAGTTTTTTTGGAACAAACTTTGTGACAAGGAGATAACAGTAATAGATTTGAGTATTTTCCTGCAGCTTCTTTTCCAAACAGGTGAATCACGGAGCTGAATCCTCTGGTGAGGAATGTGACCCGGTTAGCAGAATCTCCTTACAGGTTCTCTGGTGGGGCCTCTAAAGGTGGTTTTCCAGGAACACTACTCAGCCTAAAACAGCTCTGAACAGCGTGGCTTCAATCGGCCCATCGTAGTGTAGTTTTGTTTCCATGCCTGCTCCATGACAGAAAGTGTGTGCTACAGTGTAAGGTAACCAGTGTGCTTTACAGAAACGCAACTAAGCTGAAAAACTTTGATGTTGCTGGACATTTTGCTCAGTTTCATGGCTTTTTGTCAGACTCTGAACCGGGAAATGGCAGCAGGCTGTGACACAGAAAGCAAAAAACTCCGGAGCCACCAGTGACTCCACCCCCTAGCCAAGCAGCTGCCAGAATCACGTTGCCAGCCCAACTCAGCCTCGTCAGGTACCTCAACGGAGCAGGGACTAAAAATAGGGGAGAACGTAGAGGGAAAATACCGAACCGTGCCCTTGGAAACAGTGGTGAGGCCGAGCTGCATCGGTCCGAGTTGCTCTGAGTAGCGGTCCTGGAAAACCACCTTTTGTGTGGCACTGGCACAGATATGTTTAGGGTTTTATTGATAATATGTCTCTTTGGTCTTACTGAAGTGGTCAAGAATGTATTTGACATTCTCGCTCACTGTTAAGAGCGAAAATAATAAAGGACAAAATGTAGGTAGATATGCTGTTTTATGTATTTAAAGTAAACATATTTATGAAAAGACGGGGGTTACTTAAGGTAGAAAAATAAAAAGCTGAATTTGCTTGTGCAGCGCATGTTCCTTAAACTCAGTGCAGCAAAATAAAAGAATGTCCTTACAGCTCTGCACCTGAAGGTAATCTCACATTCTACCTGCTGTCAAATGACAGAAACATTGTTGAGATCCAGTGCCGTTATCTGCAATTCAAATAGCCCCTGTAAGAAACTGTCTGAGCCTGACTCCTCGCTTGTCGTGTCGGATCACTTTAGGGTTTTTAGTGGCTTTATGCAGCCATCCTCTCTCCTCCTCCCTTCGTTTTCCTCCTCAGCAGCAGTGGAATGGTTTTTTTGTAGAGTGAAGCTCCTTGATCCAAACTAATCCATAAAATAACAATGGCCGATACAAACTGTTATATAATTATGGCTCTTCGTTGTCATTACTGAAGCGAAACAATGACCTGAATCAGCCAGTGAAAAATAAATGTACTTCATTAAAAGAGAGTAGCTGTTATTAGAAATACCTGTTAACTGTGGTTCTCCCACATCTATACATGTGTGGCTTTAGAGGATCTCCATGAGAGAAGACAAAAATAAAAATGCATGTTCATCCAAAGACTGAAGGAGACATTTAAACAGCTTCAGGCGAAGCTGCAGTGGTTTCTTCCTCCACATGAAGCGAGATCGAGTTTCATGGAAGACAAATGAGGATATCAGTGGTGAACAAAGAGCAAACTGTGTGTACGAGCCTTAGAGATAGGTGACGTAGTGACGAAGCAGATAAAAAGCTTGCTTTTGCTATCCATTATTGCTTTACTCTGGGTTATTTTGTAATAAAGTTAATCCTAACTCTGTCCTCAGTGTTAAAGCCAGTTATGAATGCTTTTTTCTTTTTGTCTCTGAAACTTTCATGTTAGATTAGTGGCTCCCAAAGTTGCCACTGTGGGTCATGAAACACTAAGATGATTTCCACAAATAAACAACACTAAAAACTATTTAAAAAGCCACTTTTTTGTTAAGATGCTGATTTTTTGAGAGCCTCTTATCAAACAAATGATGCTTCATGCATCCATTGCTAAAAACAATGTCACACACTGAAGTCAAGGCTGTCTTCTGGCCCCACAACTGACTACAAAGTTGAAATTATGCGAATTTCCTCACAGATTTTTGTTTCTACCTATTTGAGCCTAAGGTAGTATTTTCTATGCTGGTTTTTAATTTTGCATCCCAGCTCAGCTTGTGATGGTTGATACCAAAGTTTCTTCTGAGTGCCACTAAAGGAATTCTGGGCACCACCAATAGAAGATGCACTAAAGTTTGACAACCAATGGGTTAGGTGACAACAGTCAATATGGATGAGAGAAAAGAAAAACTTGTCAAGCAAAAAATCAAAATACGTTTCGTTTTTTTTAAATATTACTTTCAAATATCTTCATCAATAAATACACGATTCTCAGTATGGCAACATGTTAGCTTGAGGATGCTATCAATGCAACATCTGATACGGTAAAATTGTCTTGCTAAATTCTAGAATAACCTGGTGGTTATGCTCCAGAAGCAAACAAAGATAAAACCATTTATTCACTCTGTGATTTCCCGTCCAGCAGCTGGTGGAGAATGCTTTGCTGTTTCTCTCTGATAACTCAGGAAGACGTTTATTTTTCTGTTTCAATGCAAAAATTTTTTCTTATTTTTTTCTGCCAATTTTTTTAAACAGCAGTTCATGTTCAGTTATTGGGTATGAAACAATTTGACAATATTTTATTGTAAAGTCAGCATGACATTTGTGTTTCCTCTGCTTACAAATAAGCATCATTATTTTCTGCCTTTGTTCTCCTGCAGGTAACATCAGAAACACGGAGCAACTGAGTTTCGACAAACAGCAGAGCTACAAGATTTTGGTGTCTGCCTTTGATTGTGGCCAGAAGAAAGCCAAAGAGGATGTGGGGGTGCACATTGAAGTCAAACCTGTCTGCAGACCTGGATGGCAAGGTTAGAGATAGAGAAACAAACAGAAAACATTTGTAAATTGGATTCTGCGTTAGTTTGAAACATGGGTGCGCGAACACACCAGTATTTAATCGATGCCATCAGAGCCAAAGAAAGGCGTTTTAGTGCAAATCCTCCTCTTCAAGGAACATCTGTCTCATTTTAGAAGGAATGTTTCTGGAAGGAATCAGAGAACCTGACAGAAACCTCCAGAGGGAATCCTGACTGGAGTACTTTTTTTTCCTCCCTTAACATGCCAACAACTTGGCATTCGAGTCAGCCCGTCTCCCAGCTGCTCCACCTGTCAGCACTGACAGCATCTCAGAATCAAACTCATGCAGGGATGAGGGAGAAAGACAGGCAGGAAGATGGAAGGAGAGGGAAGTAAATGGAACGGGCAACATGAGACAGAAAAGCAACAGGATCAGGAGAGTCAGATAAATGTTTCTAAAGCCATTAAAAGTAACTAAAATCAGTGAGGAACTAAGTGGAAAGTAATATTTTTAAATAATTAACTAAGATTGTACAACATTATTTTTGGTTTTATTATTTTTAAATTTAAAAAATTTACATTACACCACTTCAGAGGCTAAAATGTGTTCTTATTGTGTTAATTTGTTCTTGTAAAGACAAAATAAGCTTTAATAAAACCGCTGTGATCATTCTAGAAACTACACAATTTCCATTTTAATGCACAAACCAGCGTTAGTGCTCCAGCTGCTGCAGGAAGCCTGGAAAGCAGCAGTTTGAGAGTCAGCGAAGCGCCGGTAATGTTTCTGTTGTTTATTGCTTTCTGCCAGGTGGTGTTACCTTGTAGCAGATGTTTAATCTAAGCTGTGGACTTTTTTGTTGAACAAACGTTGATTTTGTTTTATTTTGGAGAATTTTGTCCACCATGATGAAAGCTCCTTCAGTGATGAGGGAGTTTGTTCATGATGAAGAAAAACATTCCTACTGTGGAGTTTTATTCTCATCTGTCAGGGGCACATCTTAAGCATCTGTCTGGTCTCCAGTGCAAACATGAGCAAAAAGTCTGTGAACACCCCCACCCCCAATGAAAGCCAACGTTTTCTTTAGGATTGAAATTCGGGCTCTGAATATAAAACTCCAAAACCGTGTGAAATGACGTTTCCAGCTAAATCTGTTCCACATCCTCCAGTTTTGACTAATTCTGCTATTTTTACTGCTCATCAATCTAATTGCATCTGAAAAGTTCAGTGTTGAAAATGTGAAGTTATCGGTAATAGATTAATCCAAATAAAGAAAAATAAAGATGATGTCACACATAAGATCCACCGTAAAACCAGACCCATGTGAATTAATATGTATAGGATCTAAAACATGATGTTAACTTTTATCTAATAGCATCATATTTCACAGATTGTAGCTCCAAAGATCTGCAGAACAAAAGGAACTGAGAACTGAAGAGACAGGAGTTATTTCAGATCCTAGCAGCCACCGACATCAGCTGGCTCCGGACAGCTCCTCTTTCTGTCATCATCCTTATTAATGTTGCATTATCTTTTGTAATTTGCACTCAATAAAGTGGTTATAAAGTCAAACCATTAACCCATATGAAGCCTAATGTAAAACCATTAACTCTTAGTAGCATTAATGCATGAATAATACATAAAGCCGTGATGAATTCAGACCCAGTTCTCTGTGCACCCCACATTTTCTGGTGTGTGTGTGCGTGTGTGCGCGCGTGTGTGCGCGCGTGTGTGTGTGTGTAAAGGTCAGCGTTGCTTCGGCAGCTGCTTTTTAAAGAAGACGCCTGAAAACTCATAGAATAATAATATAAAGTGCCAAAACTTTGAGAAACGGTTGCTTGAGACAAGACAGTGTAGGTACTAATCGGAGCGGATCGGTTCAGGTACAAACACAACACAGGGTCAGGTGACTGGAACCAAGCGACTGGAATGGGCAGTCCTAGGATTGTCGTTCATGAGTCCAACCGCCGAGGGGAAGAAACTGTTCTTGTGGTGAGAGGTTCTGGTCCGAATGGATGTGAGCCTCCTGCCAGGGAGCGAGTCAAAAAGACTGTGTCCAGGGTTACACAAATACCGTTGGTTCACACGTACAATCTGGGTTTCTTGATTGACGATTCGTTCACCTTCAAACCTCATGTAGAGAATCTTGTGAAGAAGCTGACGTTAAAACTGTGTATGTATTTTGAAATAAGTTGTTTCTGTTTTAATGCAACGAAGCGACTTGTTGCTGAAACATTTTTACCTGTGCTGGATTATGGAGACATGATACATGAATGCTTCTGCTAAATGTCTTTGATTGCTTGACACTGTGTACCACGCTGCTCTGAGGTTCATTACTAACCATAAATTTCTGACTCACCAATGCGAATCAGGTAGGATGGCCTGCTTTTACCAGCAGGAGGAAGACTCACCACAGATTTATGCACAAGACAGTACTCGGACTGCTGCCCTCCTACATAAGTTCCCTTCCTGAAAGGAAAAATGCTGGTCACTATTCTCCTCATCTGCAACATTACTTGTTGCTTTCTGTCCCATGTAAATGCACTGAACTAGGCATCAGTGGCAGGCCGACTGGAAAATGAAAGAGTTAATTTCGTTGAGTGTTTTTAAATCTAAACTAAAAAATCTTGAGGTCAACTCTATGACATGTAGCTGTTTCATTTAGATAGCTTCTAACTTTAAAATTTTTAACTACTCTATTTTTATGATGTTTTGTGTTGTTTTTACGTGTTTTAACTGTGTAACACGTTTTCTGTAACTGTGTGAGGCTTGTCGCTGCCTATCTTGACCAGGTCTCCCTTGAAAAAGAGGTTTTTAATCTTAATGAGATTTTCTACCTGGCTAAATAAAGGTTAAATAAAGATAAATTAAACAAATAAATAATTGACAGTACGATATGCACACAGTCCAGACCTTCTCCAAACCATATCAGGAGTGAGGCGTTCTTGTTCAAGATGAATGAAAACAAATCATCTCAGTTTCTTCACGTTAAAATAAGTAAGATGTAAGAGCGTTTTCTCTGTCATCTCTTCCATGATCTTATAAGATCAGTCAAAAAATGACATTAAAATACTCAGTAATATATCCCTAATCTGGTCTCCTCAGGTTGGAACAAGCGGGTGGACTACGAGCCAGGAACAGGGAGCAAGCAGCTGTTTCCCAAGATGCACCTGGAAACGTGTGGCGGTCCCTTGTCTGGCATGAAGGTGATGCTAGAGCTGCAGACAAACCACATCGGAAAAGGTTGTGACCGGGAAACTTACTCTGAAAAGTCTCTCCAAAAACTCTGTGGTAAATAAAAGAGAGAAAGGAGATGAACTGAAAGGCTGTCTTGTTGAAATGGCGTGTGTGTGGTGGTGGTGGTGTGTGTGTATGTGTGTGTGTGTGGGGGGGGGGGGGGGGGGGGGGGGTAATATACAGGTGCTGGCCAGTAAATTAGAATATCATCAAAAGGTTGAAAATATTTCAGTAATTCCATTCAAAACGTGAAACTTGTACATTATATTCATGCAATGCACACAGACCAATGTATTTCCAATGTTCATTACATTCAAAACGTGAAACTTGTACATTACTGCAGTTATTGAGGCAAAAGGAGCCCCGACTAAGTATTGAGTGCTATACATGCACATTCTTTTCATGTTCATTCTTTTCAGTTGGCCAACATTAGAGAAACAAACATTTTTTCATTGGCCTTTAGAATATTCTAATTTTTTGAGATACCAAATTTGGAGTTTTCATTAGTTGTCACTTATGAATATCAAATTTAAATGTAATGAACATTGGAAATACATTGGTCTGTGTGCATTGCATGAATATAATGTACAAGTTTCACGTTTTGAATGGAATTACTGAAATATTTTCAACCTTTTGATGATATTCTAATTTACTGGCCAGCACCTGTAAAGAGGATAGGTCGATAGGTTAATAATCAGATTTCCATCAACGTTGCTCCTTTTTTATTCTCATTGTTAATTAAACTTATCTGTTGATAACCTTTCCTGTAGCATTTCACCTACTTTTTATCTTTGTTGACATTGAAATGTTTAGTCTCTTCAGTGTTACATCTCCTTGTGGGGTTGTCCAGGTGCAGCATCAGGCAGCACCGACCTCCTGCCTGCACCCAGCCCGTCCACAAACTGGACGGCGTCTCTGCTCACTGACAGCGGGCGAGACAGCGACCTCATTTACAGGTTTGATGGGCATCAGGCTACAAACGTTCCAGATCACGCCGTGCCCCAGAACCTGACAGACCAGTTCACCGTAGCGATGTGGATGAAACACGGACCGAGTCCTGGACTCCGAGCTGAGAAGGAGACCATTCTGTGTAACTCTGACAAGACAGGTGATACAATTTTCTTGCAGCAACTGAACCGTTTCCTTCATTTTTTTTACTAACTGTTCTAAATTCTGAATTATTTGGTGAATTTATGATCAAAATAAACCATTGCAAAGGCCGATAATTAAACAACTAAAATCCTGCATTGCTCTCTTCTCTACTGCATGTTTGAACTGTGTAATTAAAGACGCCATCTGCACTTTGCAAGCTATCAGAATCGTCTAGATGGCTTAGTAGCTTAGAAACAGTAGAGAAGCTAATTTAAAACTTTATTGATGTCTGTCTTGTTACTATGACCGGTTACTTTTTTTTTATACCAGATGTTTAGAGTTTATAAATAGGCTCAATCAGAGGTTTTTCTTAAGGGGCGTCAATAAATAAAATCCATCATTCCTATAATGTTGCTAGGTGATGATTAGAGTGGCTAATTCACAGTAAAATGCTAAACTAAGTACCTTTGGTGCTAACGTTCTCCTAGTTCAGAGAAATTAGGAGTGCAGCATCATTATGATGCAATGCGTAAGTAAATTATAAAGTACACATAACACACATATTCTAAATGTTAAGTCAAGGTTTCATTTTACAGTGTGATATTAGGGATAAATCTGTGTTTGTCCTAAAGCATTAAGGGAAAAGGTATTTTTTTCTGTTTCTAACTTCCAGCTTTTGTTTACCGTGCATTTTTGCTGTTTCACATTAGAAGACAGTCATGAACACGGCTTTGAGCACATTTCCCTAAATCAAATACTTATGAATAAAATAAAACTTCCGATTATCCCTAAATGAACTTTTATTTCCCTTTTTGAAGCAGCTGTAATGAGTTTTTAATTAGTTAACAGTTTTTGGAAACATAAAATCACAAAAAAATGAATGAATGTGTAAAATTGAACATTAATAATTAAGCTCGCAGACAAAAATGATGCATAATGTATTTTATTATGTGCGTGTTTGTCTGTTGCAGAGATGAACCGCCACCATTACTCTCTTTATGTTCACAACTGCCGCCTGGTGTTCCTGCTCAGGAGAGACTTCACACAGATCGACACTTTCAGACCTGCAGAGTTCCACTGGAAACTAGAGCAGGTGTGTGTGTGTGTGTGTGTGTGTGTGTGTGTGTGTGTGTGTGTGTGTGTGTGTGTGTGTGTGTGTGTATGTGTGTGTGTGTGTGTGTGTGTGTGTGTGTGTGTGTGTGTGTGTGTGTGTGTGTGTGTGTGTGTGTGTGTGTGTGTGTGTGTGTGTGTGTAAAGATTGAGGGTGATTCTCTTCAGCACATGAAGTGCTATCGTTATTTGTGTAGTGAAGGGAGACGTTTTCCCCTCTAATTACCAGAAGCCCACCAACACTTTCTTCTCCACTCGGCAGGAGATAAGAAAGTAACGGATTTCACACACACACACACACACACACACACACACACACACACACACACACACACACACACACACTCATGGGCAAAAAGTCTGTTTAGTTACGGTTAATAGCTCTCCCAGCTGCAGCAGAGCTCTTATCAGCCATGAATCCAGAACATTGTCAAACTTCTGTGCAGTGAAAGTGCTTCAGTCATTTAGAAGACCTCTGCCAGGAAAATTTTCATCATATGATTTAGCTTCAGTTACTGTTGGAGAACACAAAGAAATAAGCTTTCACCCGAATGTTGCACGGAGCTTCCCCTGCTTGCGTAATACAAGTGTGCTCGCCGATGCTTTCAAAAGCCTCTGCCTTTCGTAAGTCGCAGCGCAGACTCTTCTCCTGAACTTTTAGTTTCCAGTTTGACATTTGCTTTTTCTTCTTTCATTAACATGTTGCAATAACTGGGTCAGATTAGTGAAGATGAAACCATCCAATTCAATTATGGTAATCATTAGGATGGAAGCTTTGATTAGAAGTCATTTCAGTTCTCCACTGAACCATTTAGCACAAATAAAAAATCTTATAAGATGAAATGAAATTATTTTTTATGTATGTAGAGATATTTCTCATTTTAACACACTCTCCCCTGCTCATAATGGTTCATGAATGTAAATTTAATCTCCTTCTTTACCCTTGAGATGCTGGAAAAGTCCACCTTCTTCAGAGATCCTTAGAAAATTAATTAAATATGGCCACCAGTTAAGCTTTTGCCTGTGTGATCATTTTGTAGGGCTTGAAAATGTTATTAAATCACTTAAAAATTTTCACCTGAATTTGGAGGATTAAAAATCGTTCTTCACGTTGCACCGGCTCAGTGTTCAGGCTGCTGTGAGACATTTAACCCAGAGAGACGTCTGCTGCAGCTCTGACATTCAGCACTGTGTTTTGTCCCTCTAGTTTACCCTTCTAGGTCAAAGGTAGATTAAAAGATGTTTTCCTCAATCTGCTGTTAGGTCCTGGCTGTGAACGTGACAAAGAGAAGGCTTCCAAGCAACAGAACTGTTATCGCCCCGTCATTCTGTCTGCGTGCTTTTATTTTCCTCAGCTGCACAGAAAACATTAAGACGTGTATTATGGGGATTTAATTTGCCCCTGTTCCCTTTGAAAGAAGCAGCAGAATTATTCAGAGAAGGTAAGGATAATGTTATTCACCGGCACAGACTCGTTAAAAATAAATTCAATCTAAGGAAAGACTTGTGGGGGCAGAAAAAATCATGAACTCAGTGTTTAACTTATAGTCTGCAGTAAGAAGGAGGCTGTTGTAGATAATAAATTATACTAAATCCTTTATAACTTAGACTTAATCACCTCCTAAAGAGCTGTGAAAAAATCTAGTTGGTCTCTTTGCAGTTTTTTCTCTGTTGTGTCACTTAAATGTTTCAGATCAGCTAAAAAAATCTAAGTTAACCTGAGTAAATACAACGTTTAGCTTCAAAATGTAGATTTTTTTATTAAGAGAAAATAGTTTTACCTCCTAAACCTTGATTAGAACACTCAGCAACAGCTGCAGTCAAGCATTTATGATAAATGACAATAATCTGTCATGTGTGGAGGAATTCTGTCCCATCTTCTTTACAGAATTGTTTAATCCAACCAAATCAGAGTTTTCTAGTAGAAACAGTTGTTTAAGGTCAAAAGTCAGACATTCTCAATTTTGGTGAGAAAAAATAAATTGTGGTTGCTTCAGTTACTGCAAGTAATTCAGGTCCTGAGGCAGACCATCACGCCACCACCACCGTGTTTGACTGCTAGGTTCTTTTTTCTGACAAACAGCGTTACGCCCAGGAGGCATCAGTGGTGTGGAACAGCAGCGGGGTGGTTTACTCACGTTTCGTGGCGCGTCATTCCACACCAAGGTAGTCTCCGCCATCCTCCTCGCTAAACTCGTGAGATCACATAATCCCTTGAGACTTCAAAGGTCACTGTTTGTTTACGCCATCCGCCATTAAACCGAAATGAAGAAGGAGATCCCACTGATATCACTGTTTGATGTCATATATGATGTAATTCCTCTCCACTGCCAGGATTAAAACCATGAAAAACACACTGTTGCACTTCTGGAAAGATACTGGTAGTAAATAAGTCGTCGTGTCACATGAATATCTGCATAGGCAGGAAATCGCACCTCTGCAATAGACTTTTATTTTGACAATTACCGGACGTTTTACACTGATACTGTGTGTGATTTCCTGTCTAGCCCTATGTTAATTGCAGAAATTGACACATCCCAGAAGCAGCTCACAACAAAAATAGCCCAACGTAACCCTATCTTTAGCGGTGCAGCTTCAGGGACATGCCTGATAAGTTCCACGCTGCAGCCAGTTTCGATCAACCCCATAGACTAGAATGGATTGTATTAGAATCAGCGACGCACCGCTGCCGTTCTACGCCATTGATGCCTCCAGTTTGGACTCATTTTTAGCTTTACACCAGACGTAATGGGACACACACCCTTTTGAAAGATGTACTTGACTTGTCAGTCTATCAAGCAATTTCCCAAAACTCTTGACGATCGCCAAGATGTATTTTTTTACATTTGTGTGTTTTTTAGGGGTTAAGCAGAGGTTTTAGAACTCTACCATGGATATTACTCGCTTGCTTATATAATTTGTCACTGCTCTTAGCTGCTGACTCATTTTTGTTAATCAGTTGGAAAAATCTAATTGAAATCAATGAATTTTGTCGTGTTTCAATATCAGAAATCTTCTGAGTTTTTAGTGAGAAGACCTCTTAGACTCAGACTCAGCTCTGACAGAAATAAACATGTCTGATGGGTCAGATGTCTGACCTCTGCCTATTCTCTTGATTCAAGTCACGTCAAAAAACAAATATGCCTTTTCTGAACGAGATGATTCTTTTCTCGCTTACGTTTAACATTTAGGGAAATAACGAGTGTACAAACGTTTTACCTCCCCACAGAGACATCGTATTGGATGGTAATTAAGTGATGTGTCTTAGTCAAACTGCAGAACCTGAATTTATCTTTATTAACCCACTAGATGCAAATAATCACATATTAGTCCAACATCTGATTTACCACTTACTCACAACAATCATTGCATCACTCAGAGTTCCAGTAGTAGCTGATTGCTGTTGAAAAGCAGTGTGGTAAACAGGAGGAGAGTGGAGTGTTGTAGCTCCGGCACTTAGTAGGGACACTCAATGGCTTCCGTGGCAACTCCATTTAGCTCTATTGATTTTGCAATTCTCATCCCAGGAGAGGTGGGGGAGAGCGGGATGAAAGAAGGCTGGAGAGGAGAGGAGAGGAGAGGAGAGGAGAGGAGAGGAGAAGAGAGGAGAGGAGAGGAGAGGAGAGGAGAGGAGAGGAGAGGAGAGGAGAGGAGAGGAGAGGAGAGGAGAGGAGAGGAGAGGAGAGGAGAGGAGAGGAGAGGAGAGGAGAGAGGCTTCCATTTCCACATCGATCCGGCAGTCTGAAGGAATGTCACATCTGACAGAAACCTTTACACATGAATCTACACACACACACACACACACACACAGTCACACACACACAGGATGCTTATCTTTCTTCTTTTTTAAGTTCCAGTAATAGATTAAAGGATGAGTCACTCGTCTTTGGACACATTCTTCACTTTCCCTGAGCCTATCTGCACCGTCCAGCTGTCTGTAGGACATTCGCTGAGTCTTAAAGTCCCGTTCAAATCAGGGTTCATTCATTAAACGCCCTGTAAGCTAAAGCTGGGGTAGAGATTTATCATGTGGAGAATCTAGCAGTTCGGGTTTGAACAGCTGGTTTGTTTTCCTCATCATTAGGAGCAGGACAGCAGTGTTACTTAAACTTTTTGACACATGAAAAAGTTGCTTCAGCTGTAATATTTCTGTCCAGATGACAGGTGCAGGATGGCTAATCCTAGCTTGTGAATCAAACACAAAAATACTCGTTTTCAAAGCCTTCTGCTCTTTGTCACCAACGTCTGATTCCTGCAGGATGCTGTCAGAGCCTGAGTTGTACATGATTAGTCTCCGCTTGTCAGTAAAGCATCTGCCTTTATCTGCCTTATCTGGCAGGCACCACCACTCCTGTTGTTGTGTAGCTTGTTCTCTGCCCCCAACTTGATTACAAGCCCCTGTTTGTTTCTCAGAAGATTAATTGGGTTCAGTTCAATTCCTCCACTCCAGCCAGCGTCAGCAGCGTCTCCAGTCACCGCCAGCCCTGTCCTCGCCCGTTGCCTCCTGTGCCCCAGACGCCGCCCCCCCAGACTCCATCTTGGCCTGCGTTGGGCATCTGGTGCCGCTGTCGGTACAAGATCTGTTCGGGTGCAAAATTGCTCGGGGTCCGTCGACTGCCGATGACGTCTAAGTAGTTGATTGGCTGAACATGAACCTTACGGAATTACGTAATCACGTTACGTTGTTATCACGTTACGTTGGTCCAGGCAAATCTTTCTGTTGGAAAGATGGACAACTTTTACAAAGAAATCCATCATTACCTCTTTGAAAATACACTTTTAGCATAGAGCTGCATGTATATTAGGGCTGAACGATTAACTGCATGTGCAATTAAATTGCGATGTGACAAAAGGAGATTTTCTAATCGCAAAGGCTGCAATTTGGCAGCGAGTGGTTAGCGCAATGCTAATATGCATGGAAAAACCCATAGGAATGCTAATACTAATATCGCCGATTACATTATTACAAATTATGAATTAGAA